CCTGTGGTGATAATAATTCAGTTGCACAATAGGGCCAATAATTCAGTTCAGTGGACATCGGACCAACATTTATCAGCACAATCTCCAGTCATGTGGATGTGGGGTATCTACTGTACTGTGTGACTGCAGAAGAATGTGTGTGTGTGTGTGTGTGTGTGTGTGTGTCCATTTATCCTCTTGGTTAACTCTATAAGAATTCCCAGAGGAGCAGCAAATGTAGGTCATCTCCAGTTGAACACTTTGAAAATAACGACAACCCTAATACCAAACAGCCGACACCAAGTCCCCTGTGGCATCCACTCTGGTATGTTCTCATCTGAATACCACGCATGAAGACAGCCTTTTTTTGGCTTTCACAAGATTATCTCTGTGAGATTTCTGCTCCATTGTTATAGCGGGCAGCAGAGTGCAGTTATGCACGTAACTGCAACCCGAAGCGTTTTATAATTCTTTCTCCTGTTATGTGTGTGACTGCATGATGTTGTATTGCGCTGTGAGTACTGTCAAATTGCCTCTGAGCACACAGCAGTACTTTGGCTGATCTTGTGTAGACACTAGACATGGAGTAAAATTAAAAGAGTGACTGGCTTATTCCCCAAAGGGATCTCTGCAGTAAGAAGAGTTATCTACTCATGTAATCTACAGAGCTGCAGTCCAGATTAAAAAGAAAACAATAACACAATGAGGGTTGAACTGGTCCCTGTTAAATCAGTGGCCTACATTGTTTCAGGAGGAAACCTGGTTGTCTTCTTCAATCAGTGCTTTTCTGGCTTTAGCACACAAGTCTTACACATTTGCATACACGCTATGGCTGTACCTGACTCAGAATTATGTCAGTCAAATCAGATTTGACTACTAAATATAAATATTTGACAATTCATTTTTTTCTTTCCATATTAAATTTTCAAGTTTGAATGGGCTCAGTGGGACATTCACCTTGACAGCAACATCCATGTAATATAGTAAAAAAGCTAACTACTGGAAAAAAAAAAATCAATACAGCATAGTACTGAAAACATTTGCAATACTGTATCAATACATGGACATCAAGTATCAGACTATATATATATGATCTGTATAATTTTTGCAAATACATATTTTAATACAACTTCTGGTACTAGAATAATAAAACCAATTGCTTTTTCAGTGCTGAATTTTTTTTCCTGGTGAGGTCAATAAAGGTTGTATTAAGCGGCACTTGGCAGGAAATTCATTAAAACAAAAATGGAGGTACCAGAGAAAGAGATCAGAAATGTGCTGTTAGCATTTAAATCAAATGTTTGGACTTATTTTGTATTTTTTAACACAGAGGGAAAGACGGACTTGGATACACATGCAATTTGCAAGCAGTGTCTTATGAGATTAAAATACTCTACGAACATGAGGGCTCACCTCACATTCCAGTATCCAGAGATAGCATTAGCCACTGACAGCCAAGCTAGTGCTAAACTTGCTCCACCGAAAACTCATCCATCACTGGACATACTTAGCTTGACAAAACTACCATCCCACTCTGAGAAAGCTAAGAAAATAACACAGTCCATTATGTACTACATGTGCAAACATCTGCATCCATACAGTGTTGTTGAAAATGAAAGCTTTTGTTGCATGCTAAAAACACCGGAACCCGGGTATATGACTCTGCCCCGACAATTTTTCACTGAAAAATCCATACTCGAGCTCAACAGAGAAGTGAAGAATAAAGTTGAGGAATCTTTGAGTACAGCAGGAAGGGTGGCATTAACTAGTGACACCTTGACTTCAAGGTCTCACAGAGAACTGGCGACTGCTGTCTCATATTCTCCAAACTAGAGCAGTACATGAAAGTCACACCGGAGCAAACACTGCAGACCTCCTGCAAAATGCAGCTTAAGAATGGGGGATTGCTGACCAAAACCTTGCTGCTGCTACTGACAACCCTTCCAACATGGGTGTTACCATTCTGTTAGCAGGATACCTACATGTGAAGTTTTTTTGCTCACATGCTTAATCTGGCCTGGCAGAGGGCATTAAATCTGCCAACAGTTCAGTTTGTCAGGTGTATGCTGCATTTCCTACGGGTTTTATGACTGTATTAGTCAGTCTGTCTGCTTTGCATCACGTTTGGCTGTAATAAAAATGATTAAAGTCAGATGATCAGACTGAAAACTTTATCTTATGAGGTAGAACAGATTTTGGGAAAATTTTACCTTGGGGAAATAATTTGCAGTTGGAAAAAGGGTAATAAATCACAGTACATCACAATATATTTTATCGCAATACTCAGCATATCGCAATACATTTAAAATCATAATAATATCATATCATGACCTATGTATCATGATAATATCGTATTATGAGTCCTCAGATGATTTCCACCCCTACTAACTACCCTAACAATGGATCAGAAGTGCAACAGCATTTTTGATGGCACTAGATATCAAACTAAAGCCAGAGACTGTGTCATACTAAGTTGCTGTGAGCTGTTAATTCACCACTTCCACACCACTTGAGAAAGAAGATAATGTCATCTTGTCACCTGACGGTGCAGTCTCTCCTCCTCTGTGCCACTACAACACGTCTGCAGCTGTCTGTACCAAAGAATAGTGTGAAAGTCAAGAGTGCTTACTCTGCAGCAAAATCTAGGGAAAAAACTCCTCCAGAAGTACACTGCACAGTACACTGACTAGCACAAAAAAAACTAAAATAATGGGCAGCCCTACCACACACAGACATGTTTTGTATGAAAAATTGTTTGCTGTTAAAAACACTTTTTCTTCTTTTATTTATTTTGGAGTACTTCACCACTGACTGCAGACTATATAAGTATTTGAAATCTGTCAGTGTAAATTATTTGGTATTGATACTTTTCTGTAAACAAGAGCTTGTGAAGCAACATTCACAATACAGCACAGGATGCAAACAGTCTCCTCCAAAAGACAGAAATTAAATCTTTTTTTTTGCAGCTCCTTGATGACTAATTTCTTCAAAGAGTTGTTGGTACATATTGTAGTATTAAAATGTCATATTTGAACATTAGAACATCCATGTTTGGAATGATGCAGGTGGCAAATGTGACTAACAGTCCATCTCATCAGACTCCACAGACAGAAATCACTTGAAAATGGAGGCCAGATAATTGTCAGCTCTCTCAAGAGAACTAGGAAGCTGATTCATTTGGCTCATCAAATTATCACAGATCTGAGTACTATTATCAGGCTAAAGCTGCAGCCTGCCTGTTACTCATAATGAGCAGCCAATGATGTAACAGCCCACCAAAAAAGAAAAGCAAGTAAAATACATTTATTTTATCAACTGATTGAAGGTATCCCTGATTCAAACTGACATTAGTTATCATCGTCCTGTGAAACCAATGAATTGAAGTCTTTTATGGTTCTTGATGCACAAGTTATGCATTGGATGAATCTTGTAAATGTGCTTGAGACATGGTAGCAGTACAAAGAAAGTGAAAAGTGCACAGTGAATACAGGAGATTCCAGACTGGCTGTTTAGTCATGGGACAGTTCTGGGGCAGTTCTGAGATTTGACAGTGACTGTTTTGTGGAATAAAAAGGTCACAGCTTTGTTCAGCTGTGCAGCCCTGAATGGTTGGCAGAGCTGACTTTTTAAATTGAGCTCACTGGCCACATTTATCAAAACCAAGCCTCAACTTTTTGAGAAGGAAATCAGTGACAGCAATAGTGCAGACTTCCCAATTGTGTGAGAAATGAAATACCAACACTGTGAAAATGGGGAAATATGTAACTGTATTTATATCACATGGACATGTTCTTCAACCCTTTCTCTGTTTATGTGGAAGGAGTATTCAACGGGAAGCCCTTAGAGGCTTCAGTTCCCCATCTATGTTCACGTCAAAGCCAAGAGACTCTATTGACAAAAAAGTAATTTTAGCACTAAACACTGGAGCTCTTGGTTTACCACTGCTATGATCAGTTAAGCCCCATTTTCACCAAGCAGGCTGCTAAAGTTCACTTTCGTTCACGTGTTTTCTGTTTCCACTGTGTAAAGTTGTGGATGGTACCTATGGAGCTGTTCCTTACCATCCCCTTTTTTGGTCACCCCTGTCCTAGAAACACTGCAGTTCGTTTATTGGTCAGTATCAGACAGTTACTCTTGCTCAGGGCTGAGCTGTGTCTGGTTTTGAGGCTTATGTAACAGCTGTTCATACTGTGGCAAGTCTTACATATATGTTTTGCTGCCTCTCGCAGCAGCTCTGAGAAAAAAATAATTTAATTCACTGGGCTGATTGCCTGTAACTTTTAACATGGAATATTACTCAGTGCATGAGTTAAAGGGAATCCATTGACTATTCCATTAGTTGTTATTGTCCCTCTTGGACAACATACACTTTAATTAATGAGTAGATCTTCAAGCGTTTAAAAATATATATTAATTTTGACCATATTACAACACTAAATCCCTGTGCTTGTCTGAGAAGGACTAAATGCACAAACCTGTTATTTATAAATATCCCATTAAATGAGAGTCTCACTCTTGTCTGTTCTATTTTGCTCTTAAAATGTTGGTGTGCAACCCTGTTCTGTGGATGACAAATGAGATGCAGACTTTAATTTGTGTCATCGGTAATGAGGAAATACAGCCATTGCTGGACAGAACAGTGAGTGACAACAACCCGCCCACATTTAAGAGTCCTGCTTGTGGTGGAAATGGACCTAGGGTCTAGGTACCATGTCTGAAGGGTTACTTTTGGATCCAAAGATACTATACTGAAAGTTTTTGGTGGAAACATAGCTTCAGTTAGTTCAGTTTATTGTGTGACTTGGTGAATCCATACTAATCCTTTTAAATGCCAAAGTCAAACAATAACACAAATAAAATAACTGATCGAGGCAGCGGAAGACCAGCAGCTCCTGTGTTTAGCAATAAGTCTTTTCTCATAGGACCCTGGTATTAAAAGTTTGGACATACCTGCGTTAATAGCAGAAAAGACATATACAAAAGACATTCAGAACATCCACTCCTGCCTTCTAGTGGCCTACCTGTGCTGCTCTGGATGGTCCTGACGGTGGTGGCAGATGTGCGTGGTGGGGAGGATGGCAGCAAGAGCAGTGGTCTCCCTCCCTCTCCTTCCTCCTCCCCTGCACAGCCCTGGTCAATTGCCCGGACATAGCTGTGGCTTCGCATCCGAAAGCATCCTGGCATAGGCAGGGTGTCCATGGTGTCCATGCTGTCCATGGCAGCCTCCATGGCCTGGGCCTGCATCTCACTGTAGACTTGTTCACACACCTGTTCAATCTGCCCGTTCACCTCCACCTCACTCAGCTGGAGGAGGAGAGGAAAGGACATCAGAGAGGGTGCGAGCAGAGAGAGAAGAGGGGAGAAACAGGGAACAATGAAAAGGATGGACATTGGGGAAACTACCAGATACCAGAAAACAGTATACAACACTATTGTTGGTCAAAGTTTGAGCTGCAAGAAATACTTTTATTAGGGCTTAATTGCTGGTTTAATTCTTCTGTGGGACTTCTATCACTTTGCTTTGGGTCTGTAAAAATGCTGTTTGAAAGAGGAAACGTTTTCAGGTTCCACTCTGGATGCAGAGCTTGATTGAGGCCTCACTAAGGCAGCTTTCCAAATAGTTCAGTACGGTCTTGTTCCCTGAGGATCTTCACTATAGACAGGTCTGCAGTACAGCTGGGGGTGGAGCCTGTTGTCACCCCAGGGTGGCAGGCTCAATGCAGAGTCTGGGAGGGGCTTGATGCTGTCACAGTGGGCATGGCTTGCTGTTGTTACAGGGGGCAGAGCTCACTGTTCCAGTCAGATCTGGGCTGGATCTGCCATACATAAGCCACTTTTACACTGTCTCTCTTAAGAAAGGAATTTTCCACCATTTTTCCACCTCAATGTTCTATATGGAAGGTATAATCACTGAATAAGGGGACAGCATTGTCTTGCCTTTAAGCCTGCATTGGAGATAGTAACTGTGCCGAAATGACCTCTGTATAAACAGCACATCAGGCAGCATAGGATCATGGAAAGGATGGATGTGATGTTTTGACAACATGTTATGCATGTGACCCACCACGGGTGATTTAAAAAGTAGCAGTTTGCAGCTAACTCAAAGAAGTGACAATGAGATTTAGGAGCTCCTTAACCTCCGAGCAGAGGACAAGATCAGCTGCCATATGACAGAGGTGGTAAATGATCATTATTGCCATGTTAATGCTATTGTTACTGTTTATAAAACACTGCTGATGCGTGGTGGTGTCACACCAGAGGCTGATGCTGTTGTGCTAAATTTCATGCCTGTCACGGCTCTTTTGCTTCCACAATGCTGGCATGCTGCCTAAAATCACACACTGGAGTGGCATGATGCACTGTTGTTTGGTTCTTCGCTCTGCATGGTGATACAGTGTGTACAGTAGGTGTTGTTTGGTAGAAAGAAAATAGTTCCTCATGAAACTGCTCTCAACAGGTCTCAACAGACACTCGAGACGGCACGAGATCTAAACATTAATGGTGTCCCCCTCAGCTGAACTTCAATGTTAGCTAGCGTCATGATGCTAGGTGAGCTGGCAGTAGATGCTTGCCTCCTTCTGGTGGATAAAGCAGGTGTCCCACTTACAAGGCTGTTGCCGCAGCAGCCCGGGTTCGAGTCCAGCCTGTGGCCCTTGGCTGCATGTCATCCCCTTTCACACTTGGCTGCTCTGTCCATTAAAGGCTAAATGCCCAAAAAATATCTTTGAAAAAAAAGATGCTTGCCTTCTTCTGTCATCTAGTTCCATTATATTGAAGAGAAGGCAGACATCTCGATGGCCGATATCTCCAACACTCTGCAACTCACATCAAAACTATCTAGACTGATAAATAACACTATAGTAACAGGAAAAATATGTGGTTTTGATTTGGGGTTGAACTGTGCCTTTAAACTTTTGCCAAATCCTGTAGTGCGGCAAATGCATATCTCCTCTCCAGAAAAGCTTAACATGCAGTTGATTGTTATTCTTTTAGCGAAAGTATACCCTTCAGTTTGTTTAATATTGACCAATAGCAGCTTCAACAGAAAATTTCACATCAGCTGCAGACATTTTGGTTGTTTTCGAAAATGACTCAACAGGGCTACTCTTTCTGGTCTTTGTCTCAAATAGCCTCATATTAGATAAACAGTTGTGACTGGCTCTGCACATCTCAAGACGCTGGAAGTCTGTCCAAAGCAGAGGGAGACCAGACGCATTTGTCACAGCCAATCAAATATGAGCCCACAGACTTGTCTGGTTCCCAGGCAAGGAACAAATACCTGCTGCCTTCAGATGGCTGTGAAGGGAGTCACCAGAGTAAAAAAAAGGCCATCAATACAGTAGCACTAACTGTCATGACAGACAGAGCTTTAGTCTGCATAGCTGGCATTAATGCCATAACCACTGGCTGAAAATCAGCTTTATCATGTTGTAGAATAAAGTTATTGTTGCTGTCACAACAATTAACTCAATCACACATATTACCAAACTTATTCATGTTTGATGAACATTTCTGTTCCAGGAAACTATTTCAGCAAATAGAAATTATAGAACAGTATCATAAACTGCTAAACAGACTCATCTGACTGAAAAAAAAAATAAATAAAAAATACTAATTGACAGTTTTCTCCTGGTACCCATTTAGTAGGATGTAAAATTATTATGTGTAAAATTATCAGAGACTGTAGATGAAAGATACGCATCATTCCTGTTGCTGTGTGATGACTGCATGTGTTTCAACTACTCAGAAAAGACTTAAAGGGATTGTTTAGATTTTTTGAAGTGGGGTTGTATGGGGTACTTATTCATAGTCTGGGCTTGCAGTAGATCTAAGATGGCTCGCCCCCCAGTTTGGAGAAGCAGGCTGGAGTCTGATATAGAAGCTAAGCAATGTGCTGCTGTGGGGGGTCAGCAACAAAAACTATTTTAGCCACCTAAAAAAATCAATATCAATTTAAGTGAATGCTATACTGAGAGTATTTTTACTGCTTTACCTCTCTGTCAGACAGTACTTTCTGACAGGAAAGCTGTTAACCCTTTCAATTCCCCATATATGCTCTCGTCAAAGCCACCCGACTCCTGAACCTCAGAGCTGTCAGTCTATCACTTAGTTAGTTTTTGTCATTGTGTTACTTTAGTGAACCCGTCCTTACCCTTTTTAACACCAAAGTCACACAATAACACAAACAAAATAACTGATCGAGGCAGTGGTGAAAATCACTGTCTGACGTTAGGGTGAAGCAGTGAAAATACTCTCAATATAACTTACATTTAAACTAATAATATTTTTTTTAGGTGGGACTCTTTTTATGTGGCTGAAATATGATTTGTTGCTTATCCTGTCCACAGCAGTACATTGTTTAGCTTCCATGTCAGACTCCAGCCTGCTTCTCCAAACTAGGGGCACACTGACTGACATGTACTGTATGTAATATACAGTCTATGGTACCCCATACAGCCCCACTTCAAAAAACACTGAATTGTCCCTTAAAAATTCTGCAAGTTGTTGTGGGAAACTCACTCATCAAACATCAGTATCCACACACTGGCACATAACAATCTTCAAAAAACAAACAAACAAACAAACAAACAAAAAAAAACAATGTAAGGCAAACAGAAAAAAATGTGTTTTTTGATTTTAGAATTTTAGAGAGACAACTAAAGCCATGAAAATTGCCCTGCATCTGTGATAAGAGGATGTCTGAGGAAGTTTTTAACTCAAATACAATTTCAAGCCAAAATGAGCACCAAAATTACATTATGCCATCTAATCAGCATAAATACCACCTCATATGCCCTGCTCCCAAAAAAGAAGTTTAGACAGAGGAAAACTGCATAATCCGCCATCTAAATCCGCCATCTATAACTGCCATCCACACAAGATTTTCTGTAACTACCATCCAGTCAGGATTTTCTATAACTACCATCCAGTCAGCTTTTTCAAACTCAAGATAATGTTTCTAACTACATCATCTTTCCACCATCCAAATCTATTATTTTTCAGGTTCATGTAAAGTAGATACCATCTCTTACCGTCTCTCTGTCTTCAACACAGACACATACACATCCCATCCCACATTATTGGGGTCTATTTGTAATTTTTATCCCCTTTTCTTTTTGTTTTCCAATCACTAAGCTTACTTAAATCGAAAACGAATTGAATGGCTCTCAACTGCAAGACAAAAGCATATTGTGGCAAGTTGTTAAATTGGGGTTTTATGGTTGGGTCCATGCAGAGAAGGACATTAAAACGGTTAATAGAGGCAGTTCAGTATGGTAATGGTAATTAGGGACAGTTCAGGATGAGTAATGCAAGTGGAGGTTCAAGGTAAGGTTAAGGTGGAACAAATGAAGGCTTATTGGGCACAGCTAATTTTATGTGCTGTAGCTTTGAGGGAATGCTTAAACCATCCATAATAGGTGCAGACTGCTGCAGTGGGCTTATTTAGTAAAGTAATGTTTATTCCAGAGTTACCAAAATGGTAGCAACACAGAGTTTTCATTTTAAGAAATTATTACCGCAAAACATGGATGAACAAAACTTATATTTTGATCATGGACAAGTGGCCATTGTATAAGCCAGGTAATCATGTCTAAAGTGCAAAGCTAAGAAAAATAACTGTAGAAGTAGACATCAGTGCTGTGTGTAGTTTCTTCAATAACCATGTGCTCATGAATTATCTCCTACATAACTAACATTAAGTGAGATTAATATTCAAAGAGGAATAAAATAGAAAAACATATGATGCATTGTCACTTCTTCTGGCATAATTCTGTTTTGTTTTTTTTTAATTGTCAATGAGTCCCATCAAAAGACCCAAACCAACAATGTACTAGTTTTGCAGAGGGCTGGACAACATGAAGAGAATCTAATTTCACAATATTTTTCACAAAATACCTCTACTAATATTGTGGGGATATTTTAAGGTTGACTATTGCTGCTTTTATAAAATATTTACACAACTAGAATTATCACTCTGGGGTTGTATACCTCCATGCACCAGTCAAGTTGCACTTATAGTTTACATCCATGTCTGCGAAAACATAGATGCTTCACACATATCTTCCCCGGGCAGCACAGAAGATCTATACAGTCTGCACAGTTTCAAGGTGGAGACCCAAGATTAGTGTCACCAATTCAGTATCGGACCAAAAGGCATAACAAGATTTGATAAATAATTATCAGTCATATGGATATAACAACTAAGTGGATAAAGGCAAATAACAGAACTGTTAGAACAGTCTGCTAGGTTGAGAAAATCACAGCACCTTGCTGTAATACAGCCTTTCAAATGGTAAATTTACAATTTTACCATATCAAATATACATAGATATAGATATCAAGTATCATATCACAATATCAATTTAATATCCACATATATCCTAGCCCATGTTTCATTTTAAAAAAGGCTCAGTAACTCCCTGAATTAATTTTTACGAAACACTAAAACACTACTACAATAGGAGTTAATGGAGCATTTGTTAGGCACTATCCACATTAATACACATTTGGTGCCCTAGTGAGTATTTGTGGCAGCAGGATGTGGGATTGAGTTAAAATAAAGCAAGTGTTCATGGTAATGAAGGAACATGTCACTCAGTGCAACAGAGTGGCTCATTGATATGTTTATAACAACAACGATGCTCCGTGACATAGTGGAAAAAGATATATGAGACACACAATACATACTAGCAGATACATTCAGTGTTGGTTTGGGTCTGCACATGGGATTTGGTGACAACAAGAAAAATATTACCAGACATATCCTTTAACAAACACTTGTAATGTGATGGATGAATTTGTGGAGTTGGAAACATGACTCTCATCTTCCAGTCAAGCCCTTAAAGTGCAGACATGCTGGTGGTGCACTGTGCACAGACCTGCACTCAGATAGAATTTGAAATAATTTTCAAGCAGTTAAGGGTGCACTGTTTTTCAACCAGGACTCCATGTGTCCTATCACATCCTGTCATTTATGATAGGCATAACCAGGTGTGGGGTGGTGTCTTGAAAGATGGGTGTCCTTTGGTCTCTGCTAGCTACTATGACTTTTAATTACTGTATACTCAACCATTGTTTGTTAAATGTATCAAAGACAGAGACTCTCTTTAGGCTTGTTGCTGTTTTAGGCTGGGTTCAGACAGACACCAGCGCTGCATGAAAAACAGTCCTGTCAGTCAGTTGAATGAGACCACTGCATTGACGCAAACACTAACAGGCCTGGCAAAAAAAAGGAAAAAAAAGGAACAACCTAGGGTCTTCTAGAAAAACAATTGAACCTGGACACAAAGCAATATGAAGTCATTTGGCAGGGCTGGCCAATCGAAGGCATCCACAGCCACATAAACACAGCACTTTTTGTAACACATTGCTGTTTTCTGTATGAATGCCTGCGTCGGAGAAAACCTCAGTGATCTCAACGGACAAAACTAAACTCAGGGATCAACAAAGTCTAGTGTAATTACGTGAAAGACTAACATGACTAGCTGCAGCCTTGCTTTACAAGATGGATGTTGATTGCTATTTTTAGGTTGGTATACAGTAAACCCACCTGCTCAGAGGTGGATATATGCAATACTATACTTGTGCATATGCATTGCTACACCTCTGGGCATACCAGAGCCTCACTGATAGCTTCAGTTTTTTTCAGCTAAGCCCTCTGAAGCAGCTTCTGTCAATCTCTTTGACCTCTAAACCCACAACAATCTTATTTTTACAGGGGAACAAAGCCTATGCATCATGGGATGTTTGAATATCTATATATCCTTGGTAACTGAACAAACTCAATCTCATTGCAGATGACGACCGTGTGACGTGGTAAAGAGCTGATGAATGAGCAGACCTTGACAACTATTCTGATTTTCAAGGCAGTAAATAATGACTTGGATTGGATTGTGTTTAGGCCCAAGGCAAAGCTGCAGAACGTTTCTCTAAAATAAAGGAATGGTGAAACTGTGCTATGTTTAATCATATATGATGTTAAATATTTCAGTAAGGTCTGCATTGAAAGACAGTGTACCCGTCCTTAAAAGGCAGAGAAATAAAGCGATACAGCTGGTCATACTGTATATCATCCTATGCTTGGAGTCATTTCCAAATTAATAAATCAGAGAACAAAAGAAATAAGGACATTAAATGAAAGTCAAGATTTGTTTCCAGCATGATATAGACCACACTCCACATGCTCCATCACATCCATCCAAGCCTTGTGTATCTATGGTAAAATGACTGGATGGGGCATTCTGTAAATATAAGGGCAGCAGTGTTGGCAACCAACCTGACTGATGGTGCTCATGGCCCTCATGTAGCTTTCATTGCGTGAGCGATATTGGGGTGAGGACAGCAGCGATTTGGGGTCGAGGAGGGTTTTGGGGTCCAGGGTATCCAGGCTTCTATTGATTGAAACCTCACTCACCGCACGAAGGTAACTGTGGCTCCTGATCTGCAGTTTGGGGGAGTGCTCCGTCGAAATCCTGACAGAGGGATGACAGGGATAGAGAGTTATACACAAGGTTATCTAAATTAGTCAACAATGAAATACTGTATTTCAATGAGAACAGGGGTTACCTGACCCTCTGTATTATATAAAAAACCACATCGTCTTCCAAAGATCTCCAGAGGACTCTTAAAACCACAGTGATGATCATAAGAACACAGCACCTCTGTCCACCAACTGGTGTTGAATGAAAACATTCTCCACACACACACAAGCATTTTAGCACCATTTCAGAAATCATCTCTGTCCACATGCCTGAAAACACATATCACATGACCATTCATATCCACTGGGCAAGATGTAAACAGGAAGCAGATTGTCTACTCTGCAGTTAGTTGCTTGGTTACAGAAAATACTATGGAGATAGCAAATTTTTGCTTGGACTTTGCTTGGATGGCGACAAAGTGGAACTGTTACTGAAATAGCATGAGTATAAGGCAGTCAAGGTGGCAGAAAACAGACTGGGAGTCAGTACAAAGCAAATATGGTGATAAATGCAATACAAAAAGTATTGTCAGAGGAAGGTATTGTGGTTGGAAAGAAGAAGAAGGATGAAATTACACAAAGGTATGTGGACCTAGATATAATGTTTTGGCTTGACTGATCCGACTGAACTGGAGAGCAAACACGGGTATCATTGTTCTGATTCTTCCCATCCAGACTAAAATGCAACCCTGGAGTTGTTAACTGGGGAAGCAGCGTTTTCGAAGGTCTCTGCTTTAGGAATTCCAAAACACCAACGTAATGTGCATGCTAGGCATAAATGTAGCAATAGATATACATTTTAAAACAAATGTGGATGTAGCCAAAGTGAAATAAAGATTGTAAAGTTAGCAAATTGAAATATCTAGTACCCCAAGCAGCTGTGAAATCACATTTTTGCCTCCAAACACATCTGACCCACATGCAGTCCAATAGCAGTTAAGTTAGCACTAATATTAATAATGCTATTTATACTACTGCAATACTACAGTAAAAAAATGTTGTTTTAAATGTTTTATTGATCTCAGTTTTTTCCAAATGCCAGCAATCTGATAACTTCGTCGTCTCCCCACCACTGAACAGAACATTTCATTATTATAGACCTTTACAGCTTTACATATCATGAGGTGCAGCATCCTCACACACAGAGGTTCAGTTATATTTTATTTATTTATTTATTTTTTTTACAATTTATTTAACAAAGCAATACAAATAATGTGTGAGCCTGATTTCAGATGGTAACATCATATAAACTAAATAGGGGATGTGACAGCTCTATAGTAATTGCCTGCCCTTCCCTCTCCACTCTGGACTTACAGGTCATCACCATGCAGTTTTGCTGCTGTCCAGCAATCTTACAGTACATACTGACAATCTTATGCACTTTGTTTTTATTACTCACAGACAATGAAAAATACAAGGCAACAGAGCAGAAAGTTAGAATACTCTCCACAAAGGAGTGATAGAAATTGACCAACAAATTTCTGTTTACTCTGAACTTTTTCATTTTACACATGAACTATAGATGCAAACCTGTCTTACAGAGATCATCTTTGTTCAAAGTCCATGCCAGTTTGTTCCTAGGATAAGAGAAGGGAATTCCCACACATTGTTACTTGCAATAAACTTTATAAGATCAACAATGTATTAGTTGTCAGACCTTTGCCATGTTAGGTGAAAGAACAAATACAATTTCAATGAATACATAGATAATGCCTACTCAGATGAGGCCAATCAGATGCCAGGAGCTGACAGCACAATCAAACCCTTTTGTACTCTTAAGTGATTTAAGACAGGTGGTTGGTCAGTGACTTCTGGCAAAAACTGCCGAAAAAAGCTGTCCTTTCATGCTGGCAGGATACACGGCCGGTCTCCATTATCCTGTAACTGCAGGGTCAGGCTTAAACAAGACAACTTAGGTTTAGGGGGTGAAAGTCCAAGTAGGGCAGGTGGGAGGAGTGGTGGATGGGTTTCTGAGGCGTCTGTCGCTCAGAAAGTAGAGTGGGTTGTCCACCAATTGGAGTCCACTAATCAGTGGTTCGATCCCCGGCTCCTTCAGTCCTCATGCTGAAGCATCCTTGTGCAAGAAACTGAACTCCAAATTGCTCCTCATGGCTGTTTCATTGGTGTGTGAGTGTGTTAAAGACTAATGTAAAAGCGCTTTGAGTGGTCGGAAGACTCAAAAGGTGCTATACAAGTGCAGGTCCATTTACTATTTACTGACTTTCATGTGGGAGGCCAGTGTTCACTTCCCATATTAATGATAAGCCAAGCCCTGTTCTTTTGTTCTAAACACAACCACATGTGTGTGTGTTGGCTAAATGTAACCATGTGCGTTTGTTGTTGAAGGGAAAAAAAACGTCAATTGTGTTATACTGACTGTATACAAACTGTACATTTCCTGTGAACAGAAGTCTATTTTGAAAACAGACAGTGCATGTAACAGATTGGCATAACATATATGTAACAGTTGACTCGGTGTCCCAGAACGTCAACATCCAACACACCCCTGGTACCTTGCACATCATATGTCGACGTGGAAAGTCCATGACCAAACGTTAGTCAGAATGAGAATGTGTTGCGCAATCAGTCACACAAAGTGTGTGTATTTAGCCTAATAGAGGGCACCTCCCACGAAAAAAAAAATCATCGTCTGCAATAATTGTATAAATATGTACACTGAATGATATAATGTTAAAAATACATACAAAAGCAGTAATCATGTCAGGCTACTGGTAAGTCTCAGGGCAAACCGTAGGCCACCCCACAAACACAGATCGAAATGGGCATCAGGCAGACACAATACCAAGACCAAATACCCACAATAAGCAACATAGCAGGAAAACATTTCTTTGAAAGAGTATAAATATAGAAATAACTTATAAATGTAGATACAAGTACATATTCTCACAAAATAGCAAAACTAGATAAAAAGACATTATGTTGACCACTTGCATTGACCATGAGACCTTCAATACCTGGGCAGTAGAAAAAGATTTATAATTAGTGGGTCATCTGTAACCCAGTAACAACCTTACATAAAAAGAAAAAGGATTTGTCATAATAAATACTTATCAAATGTGAAATATACTGTATCATCTGAAAAAAATGTATATTCACAGCATCACATTAAGAAGCATCTCACCATTCAGACCTTTTGGGGACAATGTCTGTAAAGTGCATATCCAGAAGACTTTACATCTTATCAAGAGCAGGCCAGGGTCACCCCCTCTAGGTGGTGCATTAAGCTTCTCTAGCCCATAAAATCTCAGGTAAGAAATGTGATTGCGCTGTCAGCTCATGGGCTCTGATTGGTCTCACTTTAGCAGGCATTGGCTGCATTTCCCAGATCCGGTTAAGAAGATCTTAGCGCTAAGAGCTTCTTAAGCACACTCTTAAGCCTCCCGTGAAAGAAAAACGCGTTTCTCAGATTCACACTTAGCTTAAGAAGATCTTTCACTAAGGAGTTGTAAGATTGAGCTGACCCAATCTTAACATACTTCTTAGCGACCAAACGCTCACAGATCCAGCCGCGTCAGGCAAAATAATATTACAACGTGTGCCCTCACTGTACAATAAACACTTTGAATCTTGAATCTATATGTTTTATGAAGACCCTATGTGGGCTCAAAGCTGTGGCACAAGTTACGCACAGAAATCTGGCGGAATAAAAATAAAAATAAGAAGAAAAATAAGTATGAGGAATAACAAGTGTGTTCTTGTATGTGCTCATGTTTGAATCATCATGACTATCACTTATCATAATTTGTCCGCACATATCACACATCTGCATGCACATATGAGATAGTTAACTGCACCCAAAAAATATGTCAGGGCACAACAGAAACACATCCACCCTCCAAACCTGCAACATCAGATATCAGGCAACTGATATATGGTGTAATTGCGCTCAGCTGGAACCCCATGCTGCCTTCTTTTTGGTTTGGCTCTGAAACTCCTGCCACTTCTTTCTCACCGTCACCCAGTCTTGCAGGCCGCAGGGGCTGGAGGGAGGCATTTTTTTAGTGATGGCATGCCAAATGTGGTTCTTGGCCACTAAATTTCTTTTGCCTTTTGTTCTGCCGAAGAGTGTGTCCCGCTGCTGCCATACTTTATCCACCAGGATGCCCATCTCCCCTGGGATGAATGCAGGCGACTGCTTGGCCCACTTGCACCCTGCTTCTGCCATTCTGTCTTAATGAGTGCACCTAGCTACCCACGGGTCATTTTATATCTGCATTAACCAATTGCTGTGCATAAACAGGTGTGATTGCTACTTGGATACACCTTTTGGATAGACATGAAATTACACATAGACACGTGCAGCAGGGAATTAGCGCGTTGGGTGGCAGCTGTGTGTCTCCACACATCCGCACATACACTAACTCTTTTACAATTGTCAGTGTGCTGCCTGTGTGTTTTCATAGTTTATACCTGGCGTTTTGTCTGATTCTCAGTGTAGATTAATATAGTCCATAAATCTGTCAATTTTGTCCATCCGTGAACTGGTCACATTAAGATGATCATTAGCAGAGACAAAACGTTGATGAATGCAAGTAGGATACAATGTGGTCTGGATACACTACAGGTCCTTAAGTTCATTTGTCCTTTCGTCTGTCTTTCATATTTTTGTTTAAATATAATACATTTCCTCATGATTCTCTTACCAAGACTACTTCTTATTTAGTTGTAGTCTTGTTTTCATCATGAAAATAGGTCATTAACAAATATTTATCGTCTTAGTTTTCATTAGAATTATTAGAACACACATACACACGAGCAGCAGGGAATTAGTGCGTTAGGTAGCAGCGCCGTGTGTAACTTATGCACTAATTAAGTGGTGGGTGATCTATTTGCCTGACATCGATTGATTTAGTTTCAGTATTGCGGTAGTGGACAGCTCCTGTTAAGAATTTCTTAAAGAGTGATCTTAAGAGCGATCCTAAGAAGGGCATTAAGAACTCATCTGGGGAACACTCTTTTATCACTCTCTTT